TGGCCTGTCTGCTGCCCGTGACACAGCAGGTTCAGGCTAGGACACTGCACTTCCCGCACTTTCCAAGGGCCACATGGGGAACCTGGTGCCTCCTCACAGAGAGCATCTTCCTTCACGTTCCCCAGGGCAGCCATGGGCAGGGAGGGCAGTGAGGGCCGGCTGGCCAGCCACTGCTCTCTACCCGAGAGGTCCTGGCTGTGCAGGTTGAGAAAAGGCCCTGCAACCCCACAGTGCCCCAAGGACACGTGTCGTCACAGACCCGTCCACCCTCCACAGTGGCTGAGTGCTGAGCCCTGGGCTCCCTTGTGCGATACCTCACTAGGCTGAGCTCAGGACTCCGGGCTCCCCCGGCTGTCACACCCCACCAGGCTGAGCTTAGGCCCCTTCAGTGGACTCAGCCTGGGGCCCTGGGCTCCCCCGCCACCCCCCACTGTGTATGCGGGCTCTCAGTCAGCCCCTTTCCTTTCAGACAAGGAGAGCCTCGCGCTCCCTCGAATACCGGATGTCCCTAGTGTGGATGAATCTGGCAAGAGCAGGGTGCACTGTCTGCACCGGACCTTGGTGTCCTAGGGCCACAGTCCACCAGGAGAGAGCAGGTGCACGGCTGGTGCTGGGACAGGAGCAGGCAGAGCGGGATGCAGCCTGAGGCTGTGCAGAGGCAGAGCTGCTGCTGGGGACCAGCCCGCCCAGTAAGCTTCCAGACAGGCAGAAATGGCCCACCCACAAGGCACGCCCTCCTGCCATGTCCTGCACCACTGTTCTTAGAGCAGAAAGGCAGAGGGATGGCAAGGGTACCCTCGCCACGGCCACCTGCTGGGATGAGCGATTCAGCTGACTACTGACGCTAGAGGTGGTTTCAGGGACCTGCAGAGCAGCTAAGCACCTCCCGCGGGGCCAGGGCTCCTGGTTCCCATGGGCTGTGCCTGCGGAGCCCTGGTGGGCAGGCCCTCAAGCAGGCAACAGGGTCACCGTCATGGATGACTGAAGTCACGTGCCTTCGGAGTGTGTGTTGTGCCCTCCCACCCAAATGCCCCAAGGACGGCTGAGCTCAGGGGGCTCTGGGGCACGAGCGGCAGCGAAGCAGAGACAGGAGAGGACAGAGGTCTGAGCCACAGCAGAGGGCAGGGACGGCCGAGGCCTGCCTTCGCCACAAGGGCCAGCAGGACTGCCAGGGGACTCGGCCTCAGGCGCACGCTGCTGGATCGGAGACGGATCGGAGACGGATCGGAGACGATCGCCCTAGGGGCGGAGGGACACGCCCCTTCTGCTCCCTCTCCGGGCAGCCCTGTCTGGGCCGGCGACACGCACAGGTGCCGCCTGTCTGGGGGCTTGGTACAACCAACGTGAAATCGAGAAGCGTGCTGGCTGTAAGGAGACGGCGTGCTGGCTCGGGTCGCCCTGTCCTCGGCCTGCAGCCCGAGTGCCGGCCCCAGCAGCAGTGCCTCGGCTGCCGTGCTCACCAGCCACTCTGAAGACCCCATCCCTGCACATGCCCCACATGGCAGTGCCAAGTGCTCACCGACTCACAGCCAACACGGAGCATCACGGTGACCAGGACCAGCACTGGCTGCACACTTAAAGCACCGCATGGAATTACCGGAAGGCTTTAAGAGCTGTTGCAATACGCCTGTCAAATTTTAGCTCATTGTTCTTGAATTGTCAGGAATGCTGTGCAGATATAATGCTAGACAAGTAACAGGTAAAACCCACTACGGAGGTGGCCCTGTAGCCTAGTGGTTAAGGGAGCCAGATCCCACAGGGCTGACCAGGTTCGAACCCTGCACCAGAAACTCATTTTTCCACATGCTGGGTATGCACGTGTGCGTGCCCGAATCCCTACGGGAAGGAGAAACGGAAGAGAAGGGACTGTGCGTGACCATGCCCGACGGGGAGGCAAGAGCCTCACCTATCTGTGTCTCCCACAAGTACATGCGTACACCTGCTCGCGTTAAAGAAATAATAGGTCCCTCTTCGATCTTGACAAAGTAGCCTTATTTGGAATGTTAAGTATTTGGAATGGATTTGTTCCACTTGTCTTTCCCCTGATGTAAAAAGCACTCCTTCTGAGACAAAGGGTTCGAACCATTTGTGGTTCCTAAGCTCTGATGTGGGCTTTGCTGTTTTTCATCTTAAGCTCTTGCCACAGGGTGTCTGCACTCTCCAGAGAGGGACTGACAGAGACAGAGGCAGGGAAAGGAGAAATCACCCCCCGGGGGGATGGCCAAGCCTCAATCCTTCCTCCTCTGTTCTCCTCTGGGGATTCTGGGCATGCACACGTGTGCCCAGCATGATTTTCTTTTCTTCCTTTTTTAGATTTATTTATTTAATTTACTTAGTATTATTTTTTAAGTTGCTACAGGGTACACGTGCTCACCAAGGAGAGACAGAGAGAGAGAGAGCAAGGTGCCGAGTCTGGACTCAAATGCAGTCAACCGTGTGGGGGCCAGCACCTTGCCCACCATACCACCTCTTGGCTCCAACCAGTGTAATTTTCAAGCTGCTGGGTCTGGGATTCAAACTGTGGTTGACCATGGGAGCCTACAGCCTTAACCATCACATCACCTGCTGATCGGATGTAGGTGTTTCTGCAGGTTTTTTTTTTTTTTTTCCCCAGAGGTTTTTTTACTATAGGGCATGTGCGCTCGACAGAAAGCGAGAAGTCACCCCAAAGGGGCGGATGCCCATGCCGCAATCCCTTTTCCATTCTCCTCTCCGGATCTTGGGCAACACATGCCCGGCATGAGTTTAAGCCTCCGGGTCTGGTAGTGGAACTGCGGTCAACTACATGGGAGTCCAGCGACAGACATTACGCTAACTGCTGGTACCTCTGCGGTTTTAAATACAAATAAAACTGAAGATGTGCCCGTTCCTCTGTCCACAGATACTTGATCATTTCAAATAATCCCTTCCTAAAACATTTTTATTTATTTATTTTTAGGTTCTTGCCATAGGGTACATGTGCTCACTAGAGAGACACAGAGACAGGGAATGTGAGAAATCACCCCCCCACACACACACACACAAACAGAGGAAGGCTACAGCACACTCACTTTTCCCCCACTCTCCTCTAGGGATTTCGGACATGCATGCACACACACCTGGCATGACTTTTGTCACTGGGTATGGGACTTGAACCATGGTCAGCCATGTAGGAATCCAGCACTTCAATCACCATGACACCTGCTGGCCCTACATAATCCCCTTGAAAAGAAAACAGGCACACGGAGGTAAACGGGGTAACGCAGGCACGTACGCCCACAGGCCGCTGCTCCAAGGTCAGATGAGCAGCACCAGAACCCAGAACCCAGAACCTCCTTACCAAGGAATGGCCACGCGCGCACCGCAGAGCAGAGGCAGCGGCAGGCCCTGCGGTTCCGGTGAGTAAAACCAGGGAGCACTGTGGGACCGCCCAGGAAAGGGCTCGATCAAAGTGCAGGGTCCCGAGTCTCAGACACGAGTGTCTTCGTGACCAGTGACCGTGCCGACGCCAGCAGGGAGGGTAAGACACGTGACCGGAGTAGTTGCTGGATCATCACGATCGTCGACACCAGGAAGGAGAAGAAAGGAGAAGGAAGCCCCGTATTTCCCAGACGAGGTTCCTAGGTGCTGCCCCACACCAGCTGAGCCGCGCCGAGAGCATGCAAAGGCCCACTGCAGAGCGGCACCCGTGTGGTCCTTGCACTCCTGAGGCTCTCGGGGACCTTCGAGAAATCAGCAGGGCCCTGGAGGCAGCCGAGGTGCCACTGCCAGAGAGACCTCAACAGCTCTGCCCGCGGCTGTCAGCCACTCTCACTGCGACACTGGCCGAGGCCCCGGGACGCAGGGCACCCAGGCTGGCCAGGCAGCGGTTACCTGCCCCCCCGCCACTGCGGTGGCCCTTACTCAAGAGCATGTTCCCCGCTGACACGCTCCCCTCTCTCTAGGGACGTCTGTGGACACCCACACACACTTCCCTTTCTGTGGGGATGTTTGTGCCCTGTCAGTGGACACACACACACGCATGCACACGGCAGGAAGCTCTGCACACACGGCGACCATCATTGGACAAGTGCATGAGTTTCTGACAGTGAAGTGCCAGAATGTTTTGGGTGAAACTAATTTCAATTCACATAACTGTGAAAAAAGCAGCCATCGGTCTCCCGACTCCCCCCACTCTGAGGTCCCCGGGGGAGGAAAACAGCCTATGAAGAGAGCCCAGAGCCAAGGGACACTAGTCCCACAAGCCACTCCACATGGGAGAGCCTGTGTGCTCAGCGTCTCAGCGTCAGGAGCCGCCGGGCCTGCTGGTGTCTGCCGTGAGGACAGCTCTGCTTCTGCCCAACAGGACACAGCAAAGGAAACAACCCACGCAGACCAGGTGACGCCTGGTGACCGCGGTAGCACACGCTGTTGGTGTCTTCAAGCCCCGCTGTCCTCTGTCTAGGAACGAGCACCAGTGTGGGCAGGACAGGTGGGCTGCTGGCAGCCACAGGCACCTGGCTCTGAGGGGCTCTGCCTGCCTTTCCTCCCAGCTGCTGTGCATACGTGGGGGTGCCACAGGGCACGGGCGCCGTCACCTCTGCAGTGCTCGGCTTCGATAACCAGCAGCAAAGTACACAGGGCCACTTATCCACGCGTACTTCTCCCTGCCCCAGAGTGGACAGCCCTGCCAGCCGCCGCTCAGGGGCACACTCAGCTCTCAGCCCTGCACGCGGCCTCCACCGAGCAGGGCCAAGGGCCTCCAGACCAGAGGTCGGGAGGCCAGTCTGTCCTAGTGTCCCGCCAGCACCTGCTCTCCCAGCGCTGCATCTTGTTTTTCTTTTTAAGATTTCTGCCACAGGGGCTGGCAGGTGGCATGGTGGTTAAGGGCTGGGATTCCACGTGGCTGACCATAGTTGGAGTCCCAGACCTGGTGGCTTGCTTACTCACTTTCCCTTTCTCTGTCTCTCTCTAATGACATTTTAAAAAATATTAATCAAATAAAAATAAAGTGGATAATTACTAAAAATAATTTTTCCCACCAGAGGGTGTGTATGTTCACTAGAGGGAGAAAGAGAAAGCGGAGTCACCCCCAGGGAGGATGGCCCCAGTACAGTCCCTTCTTGACCATTTTCCTCTCAGGATTTTGGGCACACATGCAGACGTGTCCCACGCGCTTTCTAGCCTTCAGGTCCAGGACTCCAGCTGGAGCGGTGGCCATGTGGGACCCAGCGCCTTAACTGCCACGCTGCCTGCTGGGCCAGGTTTGCTTCACTCCTTAAAGATGACGGCAAGAAACAAAGGTGGGAACCCCAGACCCCAGGATGGCGGGCCTGAACCCTGCACACAGCCTGCAGAGTGGGGGACACCAGCCTCCGGAGAGACGCCCCTGTCCTCCCTCCAGCCCCACACGCCGTCGCCACCGCGGCCTCAGCACTGTGGGCTGGCCCTCCTCTGACCAGTCAGCAGGCAGAGCTACCAAGGTCCAGCAAGACTGTGAGGGCCCGGACCCCGTCCACAGCCAAGGCTCAGGACCAGCCTCGCCAATGCACAGCACAAGGGCAGGCACGGCTGCTGGGTCCATAGGAGCGGGCGTGTCCTACCAGCCCTCTGCCTGGCCGTGCTCAACCTCCACCTGGTGAGGGGCTGCCCCTGGACACGGCAGAGGAAGGACCCGAGAGAGGACACAGGGAAGCCTCGTCACACGGACGTGCTAGGCTCAGGCTCCTCGGGCGGCAGCTCCCCATGGCCAGAATCCCAGAGGCGCCCACAGACGAGGAGGCGAACCAGGGGACCACTGTGGACCTTGGGTGGGGTCACAGCGCGGGACCACAAGGGGCTCAACCTGCCCCTTAGAAAGGCCTCGACCACGGCAGAGCTCCGACCCATCACGGGAGCCCACTGCAGAGTGCCGCTGGCCCAGGCTGGGCCTCTCCACGTGCTGCTCTCTGGACAGGCACCCACGGAGGTGTGGCCCCCAGCAGGCATCGGCCAGGCACTCCGAGTGTGTGGTGTTTCACAGAAGCCACACCACGTGGCTTACCCTGGGCTTCACTGCTGCCCACAGGCTGCCGTGGCATCACGGAGAGCCAAGCAGGGCTGTGGACAGCCACCTCGGGGCGCCAACAGCTCAGGCTCCCCGGCGAACAGCGCAGACACGGCTGCCAGGGCCACGTCGCCCTAGGCCCCTGGGCATGTGAGCGCACGAAGGGCAGGGCACTTCAGCTCCAGGGACGTCATTCCTGGCTTTCCCCATGGCGGAGGGAAGGTCACCTGCAGCAGACACTGTGAGCAGAGGAGTGAGCTGATTGGAAGTGCCACCTGACCCCGTGCGAGGCACATCAACCAAATCTGTCAGTGCCCCGAAGCACCCTGAACTGAGCCACTGCTACATGACACCCCAGGACCCCACGCCCAGAGGGAAACAGCTGCTGCTGGAAGCTGGTCTTCAAACTACCCACTCTGCTGACCAGGCAGGACCACAGCCTGGGCAGGCTCGAGGAGCCCATGAACACGGAGTCACCACCAACAGCTATAGAGCCTTTTCGACCTGGCCCTCTGTGGTCCTTTCCGCCAGTCAGAGGACGGGAAACAGAAGAGCTCGCCAATCTGGGGCTTCTGCTCGGCGCACACACAAGTCCAACCCCACCTGCTGTCCCTCCCGCCCCAACCGAAAGCTACCTGGGGCAGGGTATGCCACAGCAGCTGCTGCCCCAAGCCCACGGCCTGCCCACGCAGGGCTCGGTGCCCTCCATCCCGTGGGGAGTCCAGGCTCCGCCTCTCTGGAACACACCAGCCATCTGGGAAGTAGAGCCAGGAAAGACAGGCCAGATGCTGTCCTGGGCCTCCTTTGGAAGACCTTACCAGAGAAAGTCCGCTGCCCACCCCATGACAGGAGCACTCCCTTCTCCACTGGGAGGAAAAGGAGAAAACCTAGGGGCACAGCATGGTGAGCACGGACTGTGTGCATGGAGCCCCGACCACGAGCCCGGAGGGTGTGCAGCGAGAGCAGAGACTGTGCACACGAGGAGCCCAACTGCGTGCACGGGGAGCTCCAACCACGAGCCCGGAGGGTGTGCAGCGAGAGCACAGACTGTGCACACGAGGAGCCCGACTGTGTGCATGAAGCCCCGACCACGAGCCCGGAGAGTGTGCAGCGAGAGCACAGACTGTGCACACGAGAAGCCCGACTGCGTGCACGGGGAGCCCCGACCATGAGCCCGGAGAGTGTGCAGCGAGAGCACAGACTGTGTACACGAGGAGCCTGACTGCGTGCACAGGAGCCCCAACTATGAGCCTAGAGTGTGTGCAGCGAGTGCACAGACTGTGCACGTGAGGAGCCCCGATTGCGTGCACTAGAGCCCCGACTGCGTGCACTGGAGCCCCGACTACGAGCCTGGAGTGTGTGAACGCCAGAACACCGGAGAGCGTGCAGCAAGAGCACAGACTGTGCACACGAGGAGCCCGACTGCGTGCACGGGGAGCCCCGACCATGAGCCCGGAGAGTGTGCAGCGAGAGCACAGACTGTGTACACGAGGAGCCTGACTGCGTGCACAGGAGCCCCAACTATGAGCCTAGAGTGTGTGCAGCGAGTGCACAGACTGTGCACGTGAGGAGCCCCGATTGCGTGCACTAGAGCCCCGACTGCGTGCACTGGAGCCCCGACTACGAGCCTGGAGTGTGTGCACGTGAGGAGCCCCGACTGCGTGCACTGGAGCCCTGACTACGAGCCTGGAGAATGTGCACGTGAAGAGCGCCGACTGCGTGCACTGGAGCCCTGACTAGGAGCCTGGAGACTGTGCACATGAGGAGCCCCTACTGCGCACACAGGGAGCATGTTGACAGTGCCAGCAGCTGGGAGAACACATGACCCTGTGTGCTCGGGCCGCACGGACAGCTGCGGGGCCTGCTGCCTGACAGAGACCCGTCACCCTGCTCCTCCAGCCTGCGATGCCTGTTGCGCGGTCAGCCTAGGGGTCCCTGCCGGCCACAGCGGCCTGGGAGCCGCCCCCTCAGCTGTGATGCAGAATCGCACCAGGTTTTTACGACCGCGTCTCACAGTTTACAAGAACCCAGAGACGTGCCCACGCCTACCAGCTTGTACCCGCCACAGTGCCGCCCTGCTACCACGGCAGCCCAGAGCCCCAGAAACACAAGCAGCAATCGACCTGCCTCCCAGCGGCTCTCACCGCGAGCAGCCCCAAGGGCCCAGCAGTCCCGGGACACTCCCGCTCGTGCCGCCCGGGTCCCCCCCAGGACCCCCGGACCCACGCCCGCTCCGCCCCGCCGGCCCACTCACCCGGGGGCCACCACCTGGCCCGGCTGCGCGCACAGCTCCCGCACCACGCCCGCGCGCTCCGACCT